ACAGAGACTTCCTCAAAGGGCCGTCACCCGCCGATCACCCGGTTGGCCCCCTGACCTTTTTCTTGGAAGGCTTTACCACCCCCATCCCCCCCCCCTCACCCCCACCACTGCTGCTGGCTTATTTGTTATTCAATCCAGTAATTTTCATAGCCCATATTACCACACTGGAATGTGTTCATGCAGTAACTGTGCTGCACATGGCGACGGGTTGGGATTTTCTGGGGAGTGTTTGACTCCCCGTTGGTGGGTGTCTGCCGCAGGGAGAAGCAGGATGAGAGGAGCAGGAGCCTGGCCAGGAGGGGCCCAGGAAGGCCCCGAAAGAGGAAACGCAGCCTGTCGTCACCCACTGGAAAGCCGGATGGCAAGTGTGGAAAGTGAGTGTGTCCGTCTAAACCTTGCTGTCCTGTCTGTCTCGTTTTTGTCACGCCCTGAGCTGCCAACCGAAACCCTCTTATGCAGACCTAGTCTGCAGACACCGGCAGTAAGGTGGTGCCCCTCTCGTCCCCTCAGCTTTGGCCGTAGCTCGCTTCTGTCTGAAGATTCGGAGACAGGGGAGGTCCTGAGGAAACGCTTCCAGGGCACAGGTCGTGAGGAGGATGAGGAGCTGGAAGGTGGATTCTTGAAAGTGAAGAGGAAGAACAAGAGCTGGAATGACCCGGAGATGTTGTTGAGCTGTTCTCAGGAGGTTGGTGTTGCCTGTGCCTGAAACGTGCCATTGTCGGAACCGACGTGGCTGAGGTGCCTAATACTCCCCAAACATCTGTTCCCTCATAGATGCAGAGTAAAAGCTCAAAGAAAAGGAGACTTAGCGAGCAGGAGCTGGCAGCCAAGCTGGACAAGGCCTTGTCACTGACCAAGCTCAGCAAAATCAACAAGCACCCATTTAAGTTTCTCGAGTGCCCCTCAGGGAAACCCCGCGTGAGCCCCAATAGTTGTGGCAGGCTGTCCTCGCTCCAAGAAATGGACATGAAAGCGAAGGTGGGCAAGCAGGCTCTCTCAAAAGGCCTGGGCATCTACGAGAAGCCTTCCAAGGGAGGTAAAAACAAAATGGCTGCCAAAACAAAGCACATGGGTGAAAGCCACAAGCTGAAAGGTCAGAGTAAAGCATCCTTCTCTCCTGCTCGCTCCGAAGTTAGCAGCTACTCCAACAGTAAGTAAACATTTGCATTTATTTATTTGGTGGGTGCTTTCATCCAAAGTGAAGCAGATAGCTGTATTCTTGGGATGTGCTGTCAAGGAGCCACCTCTGGTTTAGCTTTCAGAAGGGTAGCATTGGGGCAAGAGCTCCACAAACGCAGGTGGATGCTAACATTCGATAAGCTAGTCATACTGAAGACTGTTGAAAGGCCTGGGATTTAACTGCCTCTTTTGGCAGTTTCTGTTTCTGGTTGAGTGATTCTTCTCTTCTACTGCATATTTCCACATTGTTAGCCTTTTGGGGAGCTTTTACCCAGAAGTGGAAAGTTCTGGGTAAATGTATCAATCTTTTGTATTAACCAACCAGTTTAGTACTCTTTATAACAAACTGGTTTGGTTGAAACAAAATCATCTGGATTGTTACTTTCTGAGTCTGAACGTTCCATTTCCCAACACCACAAATGAGCTTGATGTGAGTGTGTCAAGTGTGCATCCACTTGGCAAATGGTAGATTTGGGAAATGCACCTATTGCAGATGGGTAAAGTGGGCGTTGTGGGAATGAGTTTCGGTGGGGTCTTGGTTCTGCATTGATTTGCCTGTGCTCCTCCTGTCCTCCTGAAGACTAGCAGATGGGCTTTATTGTCGGAACATGATTGAACCAAAGGGATTGGATTCATTGTTCCTCTTGGTGTTCAAATTGTAATGTTTTAAGACTGTATCTTTCCCTCTAAAACTTCCCCTTTTGCCCCTCCCTCCCAACACACACAAACACAATCCGGTTTTCCCCCGCAGACACGGACTCGGAAGAAGAGGACAAGTCTATAAAAGCCGGGTGGCTGTCTCGGCCCGTTTTGGGCCGGCCCAACTCAAGGGCCCGGGAGTCCAGCCTGAGCAGCTCTGGGTCCCGCAAGAGCCACACGTCATCGAAGAGGGCCACGTCGTCGGGGACTGTGAAGCCAAAACGGGCGCTGGGCAAGACAAAACACAAGCACTTTGCTTTACTCCTGCGGGAGGCTGAGGCGTACTCCTCCGAGGACTCGTTCGACCAAGGTTACTAGAGCCGTCCTCTGTACAGAATTCAGATGGTAGCTCTCAGCCCTTCCCCAGCCAGCAAGGGAGCTGCCCTGTCTGGCCTGTTCCCAGCAGCAAAGCCTGCCTCCTGTTCTCTGACTGTGATTATATTGGCTCTTTTTCGAGTCCCCCCTCCCCCCTTTTAATGACTTGATTTTAATTTTTGTCGCGTTTTTAGAACTGTAATGGGAGTTTGTGTGGGAACTTTTGCCTGATGATTGTACTGCAGTTTGGTACCCAAGCTTATTAAACATGCTGCTCTCGTTTTCATGGAAACAAGCGAACTGTGTGCCTTTGTGTCCTCCCTCACCTCCATTTAGATGACTAGGCTGCTGCTTCACGCCATTCCTAAATACTGCTCTGTTCTTCAAATATCCCTTTCTGCAGAACTGTAACCGAGGCCTGCCAAAAAGAACACCTTATTTCCCTCCAAAAAGGGAAAACCGTCCTCAGATCTGACACTTGGGTTGGCTGCACAGTGGAGGGGTTTACCTGGAAACGGAACAGGAACAGGAGTTTTGGGGGTCGGGGAGGGGCTGGGCTGGTTAAACCAGTTTTAGTATCTCACTTGGAGACCAGTATGGAAATTTTTACTGAACAAGAAAATACCCAAAGTGATTCATTGGTATAGGGGCACTAATGCATTTTTTTTTAAAGAGGGAAAGGTAACTGATTCAACACAGCAGGATTTTTTTTTAGTATAGATATGTAAACACCTATTTCATGCAGGTTTTTTTCCCCTCTCTCTTTCTGTGCACAAAAAAGCCAAATTTGTTCTTGCCTGATTTCATTTGCTCTTGACTTGGGGCCACAGTTTCTCCAGCCAGCTCCTGGGGTTGTAGCTGCGCCTTTGCTCCGCCGCTCCTTGGTCGTCTCTGAGGGATATTTGGAAAATGGGGTGCGCCATGTGAACTAAACTACGAATAACCTAGCTGTGTTAGAATGCCTGCTTTCTCCCCGCAGCTGTCCAGCCATCTTTTCCCACCTCTGACCCCCCTCTCCTACCCATGATGCTTTTCACTGTCTTATCGGTCTTATGCGTTTGCTTGTCCTGCTACGCAAAAAAGAAGCGAAGCGATTGGCTGGGAGTAGGGCAGGCAGCTGGGCTGCGCGAGGTCACTTTCCATGTCACCTGAGCCATGAACATTGTCCTGTAAGTAGGAGCGCCAGCCTTTTAATCTTATGTCTTTAATATAAAATATGGTCCTTTTGATTTGAGTTTCGACTAATCACTTGTCCTACATTTCAGCGAAGAACAAAACCCAAACAAATATGAAAAATCACCATTTTGAGTTTGATCCTGTTCAGATGTGACTTGAATACAGCAGTCTGTCCCCCGAAGCTGTAGTTATGCTTGACCTGGAGCATCCAAGACCGCAACCCTGCTTTAAGGCAGATATTTCCTGACAGCACAGTTTGACGTTTTAGGGCATATGGGGTTGATGCTGAAGTGACTTGTTTGAAGGGTAGAAGGTGGTATAGAAAACCAAGGGTAGAATTTCCGTAGATTTTTTAATAGTTAAATAATAATAAGTTAAAAAGATTTGAAAGCGGTATGTATTTTTTTTAGTGTAGATTCATCTGGAAGGTTCTTGCTTAGTGAGCTGGTGGTTGTTAGAAGTGGTCCTCAGACACAGACAGGAGCGTAAGGCAACCTCAGTTATGGAGCAGATTATGCCTTTGCTATGGACATTTTATCCATAGGATGTAGTAATGATGATGATGATAATCATTATTACTAAGATGTTCTCTTTGTACGTCACTATAGTTGCATTAAGGCCAGTGCATGGGACAGGGGTGGGCGACCAGGAAGACGATGCTGGACCAGGTTAAGCATAACCACGGCTGGTGAGCCCCCCCCCCCCCCGACAGAGGGGCCCCTGGGGCCCGTGAGCCGTACAGACCTGCCCACGCAAAGCTCTTCATGTGCCCCCAGGCTTGCTTCTTCTGCTCTGTTTAATTTTGATCGCCCAGGGTTACCCTGCCTTGTCTCTGTGTGTTATACCTGCATTAAGGGCCAAAGATGCACACTTTGGCTGCTTCTAAACCAGTGTTTCTCAATCTGGTCCATGAGGACCCACAGGCAATCCACGTTTGGGGCGAGGAGGGAGCCGAAATGTGGAGCGTCTGGGCTCCCCGAGGACCCGTTTGGGAAACGCTGTCCTAAACCCCTGCCTCCCTTTAACCCCTTCCTGCTTTTTTATATATAATTGTATGTGTTCATGTGCCAACCTGGCTGACACGTAATGTCTAGTGTCCTCGTCCCTCTAACATCTGCCTTATTGATTTTTGAGAGCAGGGTGCCTGCTGTCTGGTTAGACCTTCGCCTTTCAGTTCTCGCCCTCAAACGCATTAAACACATGCAACTAACAAGTCTGTATTAGCAATCTTAAAAGAGAAAAAAAAGTGGCATGTATGTCATTAAATTCCCCAACTCATTTCTTTTTGGAAGTTCTGGCTTCCCCGGTTAGATCTGTCTGGATTTGCCCAGCCCTCCGGCCTCAAGCTGGCTGGATCAATCTTCATTCTTTTTTAAATTTCGATGTGTGCGGATGCGGCACCCCAGCCCGCTCAGGACGGCCCCGTTAAATCGGGCTTTGTTCCCCTGCTTAGTCTCGGCCTGCTGCGTCGTCACAGTAACACTCCCTCCTTGGTAAATTTAGGCCCCCAGACATCCGATCTTCGGTGGCAGCTGGTGACACGCTGCACGGTGCCGCCTCTGTGGGGGGACAGCAGATGCGTCCCAGAGGCTCAGCCGGGTGGCTACGTTTACTTGCCCCCCCCCCCCCCCCAGTCAAAATGAGGGAATGCCTCCGCAGATAGTGATCGTGTCATATACGCATGCGGCTGCTTTACATCAGCTGCTGTTGTAGACAGAGATGTGAGATCTGTATTTATTTTTTGCATGGTGAGCTCTGAAGGATTTTAGCTGCTTGATAGTCATCAGGTGTTTTGAGTGTAAAGTTGTTTTTGTGTAGCGTGTTGAGGAGACATTTCAGACATTTGATCTGACTTCTCTTGGGTCTCCTTGCTGGGAAATCCAAATGATTCCGCCTTTTTAAAAATTTTTTTCCTCAGATTACTTCTCGGACAAGGAGGACTATGACGAGGACGAGGATGAGGATGAGGAGGAGGATGAGTTTGGGCTGGATGGGAGCGATGGGCTGTGCTCGTCCTCGCTGGAGGAGAGTGGCCTGGGTTTGCTCGCACGCTTCGCTGCCAATGCCATCCCCAGCCCCGTCACGCCCACACCGCTCTCCATTATTCAGCTGGAGGCGAAGCAGAAGGCTAGGAAGAAGGAAGCAAGGCAGAGCCTTCTGGGTAATCTCACACTGGGGGTGGTGGGATGGATGAATGAATGTTATAGTCATGGATCGGGTGGGACAGCAACCTTGGGTTATTGAGGGACATTTCGTTGGGTGGAAAGCCGGCCAGTTCCATCGTCCAATCATGTGTGAGTAGTGAGCTCCTAACAGTTCAGGATTGGTGGAAACATTGTGTCTGTGGCTTGCCATTGGTTACTTGTTTGGTGGGAATGCCAGCGCGTCATGCAGCCCGGGTGTCCCACGGGTGTAATCGGGGAGCTGGAGAGCGTGTCGGCCATTGTGGATTAGCTCTGCCTTTGAAGTGCTGAAGCTTTCGGAAGCTTCTGGGCTGTTCTGTGGTCAGGCTCCTGTAGGATCTACAGGCAACAGCGGTTAGTCAGCACCTGCCATGTGTCTTACCTGCAGGTACGGAGTTTGAGTACACAGACTCGGACAGCGATGTCAAGATCCGTAAGAACTTCCCCTCGCTGCTTCACGGGAAGAGGGCACCCCCTGAGTTGCCCCTCCTGCCCCCTGCCAGCGCCCGCCGTGAGGATGCCAGCCCCTTCAGGCTGAAGGCGAGTGGGGGGCGGGGCCGGCGGCCCAAGCGGCTGCGCTCGCCGCGGGAGTCCAGCTTGGAGCTGGGGCCCGACGCCAGCGACGAGGACCCCTGGGCGCGCCGGCGCAGTGAGCGTATCTTCCTCCACGATGCCGCCTCCCCCCCGGCCAAAAGCCCCCCACCTCTGCTCCCCAAAGCCATGCGCTGTCCCAGGAAGGAGACCGCCATGCCCCGCGAGCTCAAGGACGCAGGAAAGGTGCTTCCCCCCCGGCCCCCCACCTCAAAACAGCATGACAGACCCGCGTCATGTTGCAGGTTACAGAGAAGGTATTGTGGGTAATGCCAGAATGTGTCTTTGACACTTTACGTATTATTTGAGCCAGTATGACCACTGTGATTGGACTGCCGGGGTCATTGCGATGGCCTGGCCATTTATCCAGCAGCCCTGCAACAGTCTTTAGGGTTAAGGGTCTGGCTCATGGGCCTGGCGGTGATGTAATCTCTCTGCTGGCCACGGGATTCAAACCAATGACCTTCCAGACACAGACCCAGACTCCTACCCTGCAGAGCTGCATTCCATGTTTACCATGTTGATGGAGTCATTCACATACATTTTTACCAAAATGGGGCATTTGGTGGTGAGAGGGTTATCGTTTTCTGGATATGGTTTCCATGCTAAATCTATTCTGTTGCCTTTCAGAAAAAAAAAGATGCGGAGCGCCCCCTGAGCATGTCCCCCCCGCCGCTGAGCAGCACCCCCGTGGAGCCCCTCCCTGCCACACCTGGCTCCCCCATCTGCCTGGGCCGTAAGGGCAGGACCAAGTCTAAGCAGGGGGAGGCCAAGAAGGAGGTGGGCAACACCCGTTGGCGAGCTTTGGGGTGGGGGGCTGTGGGTGAGACCAAAGCTCTCATTTCCCTCGTTTCCCAGCAGCCTCGGGGAAAGGGCGGGGCCGTGAGCAAGCTGATGGAGAGCATGGCCGCCGACGAGGACTTTGAGCCCAGCCAGGACAGCAGCTTCTCAGAGGATGAGAACCTTCCGCAGGGGGCGCCCTTGGACCGGCCTAACACCCCCGGTGAGTCCTGTCACCATCAGGCACCCACGTTAAATCAGCCAGCGTCTGCCCAGTCTGATGGCATTGTGCCGGCCTCCTTCATTGGTGATTCGGGATGGCCGGCCCCTCATAATGGCCTGCAGTACAGTTTGCATAATTTAGCCGCAAAGTGGCATCCTGGTTATTGTCACGTATTGGTGCTTGTTCACAAGCCAGGGAGTTTTAATATGCAGGGAGCAGACTGACACGTACACATCCAGCGAATCAGAGCCGACCGGCCAGTCACATGATCAAGTACTCGTAACGCCTCAGCTGCCTGTCCCATCTATGCTCCCTCCCTCTGAAGTGTGTGTGTGTGTGTGCGTGTGTGTGTGTGTGTGTGTGTGTGTGTGTGTGTGTGCCTTACAGCCCCCCAGAACTGCGTGATCGATAAGGATGACCTGAAGGACGGCCTGAGGGTGCTCATCCCCATGGACGACAAGCTGCTGTACGCCGGCCACGTCAGCACTGTGCACTCACCAGACATGTGAGTGCACCCCCGTTCTGAAAAGCAGTGACACCCCCCCCCCCCCATCACTCTCTCAATTTCTCTGTTTCTCTCTCTCTCTCTCTCCACGTTCCTGCAGCCGTGATTCACTAGCTTTTCTGCAGCATTGACAACATAACAATGAGGTCGTTTACGTGAGACGTTGTCTGGGGGGAGGGGGTGCCGGTTTTTGTTCATTTGCTAAATGACCAGGCTGAGTGCTTGGATGCATGGCACCCTGCCCCCCCCCCCCCCCCCCCCCCCCCCCCCCCCCCCCCCCCGCTTACCCCAGACGTGTCATGTGGGATTAATTGTTTACGCCTCTGCGAGGGAGGTGTTTGCTCACAGTCCCCCATCTGAGGTCCTCCCCCCAGCCTGTACCGCGTTCATCATCAGAGAGGGCAGCTCCCTGTGTGCCCCCCCCCCCTGTGGGGAGCGTTTGGACTGAGCCTTTTTATTGGGGATAGTTTTAAGGAACCTTAACCGTGGCGACTGGCTCGCTCAGGAAGGACTTTACTGCACGGCCTGCTGCTGAGTTACTGCTCGCGTAAAACGGAATTCGTGCTTCGGATATAAACACAAACCCCAGGCCGTAAAACTGACAGATGCGTCTGAGCGCCGGCGGATCCCGTTTTATGACTCCGGGGTTTTTTTTTCCAAACTGCCGGGAATGCTTCTGCGAGCACAGAGCGGCGGCGACTTCTGCGGCTTCCGGCCCCTCCGATGTTTCTCTCCCTTCACTGCCATGCAAATGAAATGACCCATAATTTAATTTCCCCGTAAGTGCAAAATGAGGCTTGTTATTCATTGGGAGAAGTCGCCTTGCATTTACGTGGTGGGGAGGGGGGGGAGGTATATTCTGAAATACGACTCCCAGTAACACAGTGAACTCCTTCACTCTCTCACACTTTTGATGGCTGGTTATGAGCGTTTGCTTTGTATATGGTCTGTAAGCCTGGAGGCTGTGATCCGGCCTGTAGAATTTATTTAGGCATGAACCGCTATGCGAGTCGGTGCCCTGATGTTCTTGTGTTTTTCTTTGCCTGTATGGACCCAGCACTCCCAGTCGTTTTGACCGTACCTCTCCGTGGCAGCTCAGCGGCAGAGGAATGGGACGTTCCGGCTGGGATTCCTGCCGGCTGACTTCTCGGCCTACACTCTCATTTGCACTTAATTGCAATTTGACTGCGCGTGTGCCTGCCTTTGTCTGCAATGGCCAAGTTGTTGTTCTGTTTTGTGGACAGATTAATGCATCCAGGGGTGGAAAGTGAATGTCTAAAAACCAGTTCCTGTGCTGACTCTATAGAGGAGTAACCAGTATGACCAGTTTGTGAGTAATAATCAGAGTTCAGAAAGGGAGGGAACCAAGTTTGAAAGCCAGGCTGGGAAAGAACTGTTGGCTGAGCCTGCTGTCATATTCACCTGCTGATGTCATCCCCCTGTTATAGGTCACGTTTCAGCAGGATCAGGTTTAACAGAATAATTTTAATGGAGGGGAAGCCCGGTAGCGCAGTGGCACTATTGCCTCACACCTGTGGGACCAGGGTTCGAGTCTCTGCCAGGGTCCCATGTGTGAGGAGTTTGCATGTTCTCCCTGTGTTTTCTGGTTTCCCCTCACAGTCCACTGTGTGTGCGTGCGCACGCTTGCAAGCGAGTGTGCGAGCACATGCATGCATGTCCTGTCTTGGGTTATTCCCTTCCTTGCATTGCTATCTTCCAGGATAGGCTCCAGTCCCCCACAGCTCTGCATAGGACCGGCAGTTATAGGAAATGGGTGGATGGAACTTTAATAATAGCTTTCCCGAGTTCCCATATTTTTTCAAAGTTTAGAGCAGGGATGTTTAGGTCTGAATTATGCATTTAAATTTAAAAAGGGGTATTTTGTATCCATTGTTGAGTCTGTGTAGACCAAATGTCCCGGTGTCTCTGTCCTTCGCTTTGGGATGTGGGAGGCTGCCTGGCCCCACTCACCGCGTCAGTATCGCGTGTCTGTCCCGTATCGCACACAGCCTAATCACTTCAGAGATGCGGCTGCTGTGTTAAAAAGGGAAGATTAGCTATTTCTTGGTGTGGGGGGGGACTTTCTGGTACTGTTATTCATTTCCTTTGAGCCTAAAGCGTCGTTTTGCTTAGCTGGACTTAGCACGGCCTGCTGATGCGGGGGGAGTCTATGCCTGCCGGGTCACTGCTGCTTCTCCTTCTTTAGTTGGTGCTTTTTTTCAGTCTAATCGTGTTTCCCGTGACGGCCGGGTGTGTGTGTGGCCTGCGGGCGGATTTGGGCTCTGGATGAAGCCGTGTACATGAAGACGGCGTGGAGAAGCGGCGCGATACTGATCGTCAGCCGCTAACATCCCTGTCGATGTCAGTCAGCTGGATGGGCTGCTGCGCTCCCCCCTGCTGCGCATCCTGGGAGGACGGGGATTCCGGGCCATCGCCGTGCTGGTCTTCCTCCAGATCGGCCCGCAGTAATGCTGCAAACATGCCTGAGACTTTGTGGGGATGAAACCAACCAGAGATGGAGCTGGGAGAGCATTCAGCTGCGTGGAAACGTAATGCCACAAACCTGTTCCTGCCAGCAGGTGCCGTTGCCGTTTAGGAACTTCAGTAATCAATGTATCAGTCTTCCAATGACGTATCCAGTGAGCTTATCCCAACCAGCATAGGGTGCAAGACATGGAAGCATCAAGAATGAGATATCAGTGCTTCAACAATAGCATAAAAATATCGGATCTTATGAATGCAATATGCAATACCAGAAAGTGGGTGGGAGGGAGGGGAAAAATTGAGACCACTACAAAATTTTCAGTTTCACTCATTTCTCAACTTATGGGTATGAGCAACTTATGGGTTTTTGCAAACTCCAGCCTGGCTCTTCCCTGCTTCTCATTAATGAAGGGCTTCTTCCTTGCTTTATATGACTTCAGTCCTGTTATGAATTGTCCTAGCAGTGCATTTCACACCACTTAATGTTTCCCATTGTTTCTGAAGGTCACTTGAGGTCATCCTCCGATTTAGATAATGGTCATCTCTGGCATTAGAAAGCTGCTTCCACTCTCTGCCTGGCAGAGAGAGAGAGAGAAACCTGTTATTTTGACGTTGTGGGGGCCAAATTTTCGGTCCACCCCAGGGGGTTAACAACATTTTCCAAAAATCTGTGACCGCAATCAAACTTAAATTGCATTTTGTTTGCTTACCTATGGTTAAGGTTAGGGCTTAGTAAAGGCTGTCAATGTTTGGGATTAGTTTTCCCCCATATAAATGAATGAATGGTCCCCAGAAAGATATGAATACAAATGTGTGTGTGGTGGCGGGGGGGGGGATCTCTGGTTCAGAACACAAGTGGAACAGAAGCACATCCTATCTGTCTTTCAGAACTGACTCCCAATCTGTCCTGAGAGGGAAGCAGAATACGCTCCTGGTCTCACCGCGGTAATACGGCTCCCCCCCATACATCAAAGCTTTATTTCAATGACGCCCTTTACTTTGCGCAGCGCGCACTGAGCATCGCCTGGTTGGAGTTCTGCAGACAGTGTGATCGCCGCACAAAGGTCCCGCTGGGAGGACGTTTATGTTTGAAACGGCTGCAAAATATATAAAAATACGTGGCAGCTGATGCTGAAAATCCTGAGTTGCCAGGGGCATTTCAGGCTGTTTGTCTTTAAGATTAAAGCCTGCGTTCCCTTTCCCTTTGAAAAAGGCCTTTTAACAGAGTTCATTACTGTTATTGCAGCAGACAGCCTGAAATTAATTTACTCCCGGAATCGCTTAGATTTCTGTTATGTGCTGGAAAAATGGCCACCCCCTTAATATAGAACATTCTGATGGCTGGTTGAAAGAACCAGGTCACGGTGATGTTCAGGGTGGGGTGGGGTGGAGGGAGCTGAGCTTCTAAAAACGCTACCGTAACTATGTAATTGTCAGCTTGCCATGATTCATGCCGATGGTTCCGGCGACATACATTTTGAGCAGCTGGAGCAGCCTGCCTGTTCCGTCAGGTTCTGCACCCGGAACTCTCTCGTGACAATGGCTGACTCCTCTCCTGTCTTCGGTGACCATGGCTACAGCACAATGGGAACCGGACCGCCGTTCAGCTTATCGGATAAACCCATCTCCCCATTGTAGATCACCACAAAGCTTCTCCTTTACGTCAGCCCCATGACCACCTCTGTGTCTCCCTCCCCAAAGCGTGAGAGTAGGGCATCAGCAAGGCCGCTGGAAGACGTCGGATTCCACAGGGCATATCTGTTTGAAAGGTTCTTCAAAGCAACGTTTGGTCCTCAAAGGCTTCACTCTTCAAAGAGTCTGAGTGAACTCTGAAGCTGCCTGAGCTCGGGGCTTATTTAGATACTCCTAGGTCATGCCTCTATCGATCAGGCGAGCAAGGATCAACCCTAAGACATGCAATTATGAACCAGCGCAGAAATATTGTTTTTGTTGGGGGTGGGGCGGGGTGTGTTGCCTGTGTAGTTTAGGGTGCGTGTGCATGCGACTGCGCTCCGTGGGTCCGCTCAGATCCGGTGATTACTCTACATGGCGGCCCGCTTCCCGTAAGTCCTAACGGCAGGCTGTGGGGGGGCTCGTATCTTGCAGATACAGGGTGATGGTGGAGGGCGAGCGAGGAAACCGACCCCACATCTACTGCCTGGAGCAGCTGCTGCAGGAAGCGGTGAGTACCCCCCCACACACACACACGGGGACGGCCAGCCTCTCCCCTTGCCAAAAATACCCGGTGTTACCGCGGCCCCTCCGACAGATTTATGAATCCGTTTTCATCGCAGCTGATGATTCATGGCGTTTTCTGGAAAGGGAGCGACGCAACAGAATGATTTCATGTTCCCCAGATGCTTGATGAAGATAAACAGTATATAAACTTACCACTGTCCCCCTCCCCCCCCACCCCGGCTTTCCTAAACACTGTTTAATCTCCCCTTCCCCTCGCTTCCCTTTACGTCAGAGCTGGGCCCACACGCTGATTTTCCCTTGCAGATTATGGACGTGAAGCCTCCGTCGGTGAGGTACCTCCCTGAGGGCACGCGCATCGCCGCTTACTGGAGCCAGCAGTACCGCTGCCTCTACCCGGGCACCGTTGTCAGGGGTAACACTGCCTTCTCCTTCTTGCTTACTGTGATGTTTTCTGGAGGACCTTCGGTTGAAGGTCCTCTCGGCCCCATCTTTCCACGTCAGCTGCACCCGACTCGTCCCATGAAACTGAGCTCTGCCGCCCCTTTTCCTTTGTCCCATCCCAAAATGGGGGCGACCCCTAATCGCTCCTGGAGGGCAGGTGTTGGTTGTCCCCTCACGGTAGCTCACGCCTCGGCCGGACAGCACATTCGTACGGGGAGTGGGGCACGTGTGATGTGCAAATATTTTCTGTGAAAATTTGACCCCCGTCCATCTGCCTGCGTGCTGCATGTGGATGCAGACCCTCCTGTCAGGTTGAGATAAGAGTGGAACAGCATCTGCTCCCAGCAGCAGCTCATACTCTGAGCAGAGGCCTGAGTTCTGGGTGAAGGCTGTTAGGGATAGTTCTGCAGCCCTTGCCTCTAGAAGAAATTATCACCCCTACCTACAGAGGTATTGGATTTGGAAGATGGTCAAGAAACCACTTAGGCTAAAATCCAGGCTTCAGAATCTATGAATGTAGGAAATGCAAGGTCCACTGAGAGCATTTCATGATACAAGGGGTGTTGTATTAAGGGGAGGCTGTTTTTAACGAAGGCGTACAACGAGCTCCCATTCATTTGGGGGAACCCAGGCTGGGTCGGGAGGGCCACACTGATTGGACGTGAAGCCCGAAGGACTCGAGGAAGCTGGGAGGCAGAGGAATCCCGTCCAATCAGATGGTGTGACTGGGAGGGGTGTCGACCTCATGAATATGCTTTTGTACTCTCTCCTTTTAAAAGCATGGGATTCTCCTCACCAGTATCCTTAGTTTGCTTAAAGGGATGGGCCTTTGACACTTTCATTCTTCAGTTTGTTGTCATCTTCCAAATGCCAGCCAGTCTTGTGTGACGCCTTGGTGTGACGTTTGTGGGTCTGCGTCTCATGGCCTGCCCTGCTCTCATGCTGACAGGAAACCCGGACGGGGACGAGGACGAGGACTTGATAACTGTGGAGTTTGATGACGGGGACACCGGGCGGATCCCTCTGTCTCACATCCGCCTCCTCCCCCCCGACTACAAGATCCAGTGTGGGTGTTTGGCGAAGCGGGAGAGAGCTGACGTTTGAGGGGAAACATCTGAGTGTGGCGGGGCTCCTCAATAAGGGGCACATTTAGCTTTGCTACTGATATTCAAATAATATTTTTAAAGTAGTGTAAACTTGGGGCCAGGGGGCTGTTTTATTTGGGTGAGCTTCAGCCTGCGATTTGTTGGTTTTGGCCTTTGAAGTTTAGCGCCGAACGATGCCAGGGAGGTTTGTTTTGCTAGCGCAGACAGTGATGTGTTTTAAATGGCCATCTCCCTGATTTATCAGCATGTCAGATATATTACGCAAATGCGGTTCCCAGCCTCACTGGTTTTCCCCCGTTAAAAGAGCACCACACCTACTGTTCCACAAATATTTTTTTTTTGGGAAATGGAAACATGGACAAAACACTTTATGAACAAATATCCACTTACATCGGGTCTAATATCTTGCAGGACACGCAGAACACTTGGATTTCATATTGGTTAAATTAGTTCTTTAGGCATAAATGTAATTTCATTACCTCGTCTTGAATGTTTCTGATTCATAGCCGTGTTATTTTAGGATAGTTTTATTCTGTGTGCTTTTTAAATGATCCCTGACCTATAACGCTAAGATGTCTGTAAAGTTTGATTGCAGGAGTAGCCACCTGATACCTTGCTATAAAAAGCCTGAATGGACACAGCTTGAGCATGGAGTGACATAGCCTATATTACTGGATGCTATATATAGGTTATCTCTAACATTATGTTGAGGTAGAATAAGTAATGTCTGTAGCGCCCCCTGTCTGATGTGATTTTTGTACTGGCTTTCAGTTTGTTTGATTTCTGAAACACACCCCGCCCTCGCCCCAACACGTGCGTGTTTGAGGCCCTCGTAAATTCACCTGCCTGGTCTGTCCCACAGGTGCGGAGCCATCTCCCGCTCTTCTGGTACCCAACACGAAGAGGCGGGGCAGGAAGACCAGCAAAGACGTACCAGAGAGCAAAGAGGTTGAGTTGCAGGTCCCGGAGGAGGCTACTCCAAAAAGCCGGGGGAGGAAACCAAAGCCGAAGCCGGGTAATGCCACAAAAAAGCTACTGGATAGCTAGGTGACAAACTGCAGGCAAAGGAAGCTTTTCAATGACTGCCTGTATGTTTCATAAGGAAGACAATTTGGGAAGTTTTAACTACATTTCAGCTTGGAGTGAAGAAACAGTTTTACCCTTACCATGAACCTTGGTTAATGTCGGCCTGGTAATCCCGCTTCTCCTTCACAGAGCCAGAGACCATTCCGGAAGGGCAAGATAAGGCAGCGAGTTCCTCTTCCTCAGATACCCAGACAAAGCCCCAGGTCTCTGGAAGACCGGGACCTAGGCCGGGTCGAAAATGCCAGGAGGCTGGGACAGCCAGGTCCTCTGTCCTGATGCCTAATGGACGACAGAAGAAAGCTGCAAGAGTGAAGGCTTCCACCAAAGCGTACTCCCAACTGCAGCCTGTCTACACGGCTCCTATGTATGGGAAGGTCCTGCCCGGCGATATATTTGCAGACACTGCAGGTTCCCTCGGTTCCTTTGTACCAAATAACGAAGGCGGCAGAACCGGGAAAGTCAGATCGGTCAAGAGAGGGAAGAACAGTGAAGATCCCCCCGAGGGTGGGCTTGGAACAAAGCCGCAGAGGAAAGCGCCTCAGGCTGAGATTATGATCAAGCTGGACCACGAAGGCGTGACGTCTCCCAAAACCAAGAAGACCAAAGCCCTGATGATGATGGAAGACCAGAGCCTGTCCAAAAAAGAGCACAAGACCATGATGGGCATAGCTTACGGTGCCGTCCATCCAGGGGAAACTCCTCAGAAATCGCCCAAGGCTAAAGCTTCAGATGTAGATGTTCCCAAGATGGGAAGCATTTCAACCTATAACATTAGAGAGCTGGGAAGTGGGGGGGATGGGCCGGTAAAGGGCAAGGATGCCCAAGCGAATGAGGATGCAGAGTCTGAGAGCAGCAGCAGCAGCTCCAGCTCCAGCTCTGAGTCAGAGGGTGATGAAGAAGATAGATCGCAGAAGAAGGAGACACAGGAGGACGCAACTTCCAGCAGCTCCCGTGCCTCCAGTCCCGCCTCCAACTCTTCCAGCTCTTCTACCAGCAGCTCCTCATCATCATCCTCTGGCTCCACCTCCTGCTCATCATCCTCTTCTTCGTCGTCGTCATCGTCCTCCTCCTCCTCATCCACGACCGACGAGGACTCTTCCTGCAGCTCCGACGAGGAGGCCCTAACCTCTCCCCAGACGTCTTCCATGGCACAGCAGGCCTCACCCCAAACAGGAGACCAGCAGTCCACAAAACCTCAGGCTGCTTCATCTCCCCCTACCTCTAAAGGTCCAAAGCAGCAGGCACCACAGAAGCAGCAAGGCAGTGGAAGGCCCAAGAGGCGCGAGGGCATCCATCTCCCAACTACCAAGGAGCTGGCCAAGAGGCAGCGTCTGCCCTCTGTGGAGAACAGGCCCAAAATCTCTGCCTTTCTTCCAGCTAGACAGCTGTGGAAGTGGTTCGGTAAACCAACACAGGTGAGAATTCATTGTTCACAGATACATTTCATGCAAAAATGCTCAGTCTGCCTTGTTTTGTGGTCTCAAACATTAACGAGTAACTGCTGTATTAGAGGGACTGTTAAGACTGAATAAAAAATGACTGCCTTTGTTGACATTCATTACTGGCATCGTGAGTTGAGTGACAGCTTTATATTCGAGCCATTTGAAACACTTTCTCAAAGCCTGGTTTCTGTGTTAATTGCTCTGCAGAGGCGTGGAATGAAAGGAAAGGCAAAGAAGCTTTTTTACAAAGCTATCATGCGCGGGAAGGAGATGATCCGCATCGGAGACTGCGCGGTGTTTCTGTCTGCCGGAAGACCCAACCTGCCATATATTGGGCGCATCCAGAGCATGTGGGAGTCCTGGGGGAACAATATGGTGGTCCGAGTGAAGTGGTTCTACCATCCCGAGGAAACTAACCCTGGGAAGAAGCTTCACGAGGGAAAGGTGAGATCTGTTGCTTTCATATGTTCATAGATCATTCCACAACAGATTTAATCTGAGATGACGTATATATCAGCCAATGCCTCATTGTCTGCTCTGGAGACAACAACAAAATAATGTTTGATTGTGTGTTTCACTTGATGATTCTTGGCAGAACTGGGATCAGAAGTCCTCAAGGGGGCTCCCCGCAGCTCTGCAAGCCTCTAACCAGAGGAAGGACTTCATGGAGGTGAGAAGAACTGGGTGGAGATGACATGTCATGCTTGTCAGCTAATTGCACCACCTTTCCTAACGTTCTGTCATTTGTCCACAGCGTGCTCTCTATCAGTCATCGCACATCGATGAAAATGATGTCCAGACGGTCTCTCACAAGTGTCTGGTAGTCAGCCTGGAGCAGTATGAGCAGATGATCAAGACTAAGAAGTACCAGGACAGTGAAGATCTTTACTACCTTGCTGGTACTTATGAACCCACCACAGGGATGATCTTCAACACAGATGGGGTGCCCATCATTTGCTGAGCTACCCATAAGCCCTCTTATCACCTGTGACTCCTGAGAGCAGAGGTGTGGTTGTATCTGGAGGGAATGAAACCCATTTCATGAAATATATTATTTGAAGTTGTCAAAATGTGTATGAATGATTGTCCGGGAGACATAGCAGAATGGAGTTTGCTTCTGGAACTGAGAAGTATGCCCGAGTGTTAAGACTCGGGGACAAAGGACTTTGTGTCGACTTGCCGATTGAGTCAGAGGTTCCCTGATTATTTGCTCTCAGGGCATTGCAACACATCACACTGCGACTTGAAATGTTTTTGAGGAAGTGAGAATGAGGTCAATGGCAGCTCACTGCACGTATGTAAAGAAATAGTGCTCCTGGTGTTGTGGTGATATCCACATAGAAAGTGGCTACCCGAGGGGAGGCTGATGAGTACCTGTCACGATTTCACACCTAGTTTCGTTTTTTGGCTGCTACTGGCTTTCATTGGTGGTACCCATCCTCCGGGCTTGAGAGCTCAAAGGACACAATGACTTGCAGCCTGGCACTTGTAACGGCTTTGGGGCAGTGAAGGCCAATATCCTGGTAGAACCACCCCCCGCAGCTGAGGTCCATTTGTCCCAACAACCACCAGCAAACCTTGTCAGCATGCATCTGCAAGGCCAAGGGCCCCATCTGTACCCAACCACCATGGACCACTACCACCGGATGACAGGACCGGATCTGCTGCTCAGTAAAATAAGGTGGCAATCAGGGTAAAAGCCAGGGAAACAAACTAATCAGGATTCTTCTGGAGGAGAAACTATGGTTACACTATGGACTGAAGTCTACATATCATCTTATACAGAAATGTAAATTTGTATTTTCTTTCACAGACAGCAGTGTAACATGAACGGCCTTCCGAAGACACTAATCTGTTTTGTGAAAGGGGAGCAATGTTGACCCAAGCACTTAGGGAGGCATAGGAGAGCGATATTCCTCAGCCCCCTCTCCCCCCCACCCCCCCACAAACCTGCCATGCCTGTTTTCAAATTTTGGAATTCTCTCAAAGATCTGCTTGAGTTTCATGGGTGGTTACCTTACCAAAACATAAGCACTGATCCTCCGATTCCTTCCAGCCAACCTGGGGCAGGTGGATGCAGCCGGACTCCCCCGTGTCTTAACTAACTGAGATGACAAATGCACCCTTTCTAAACTCAAGTTAAACTGGGCTGGAGAGGAGCCCAGTATTTTGTGTGTATACATATATATATGTATTATATATTTACGTACAGATTCTTTTTTTAAAGAAAAGCTTTATAAAACTGTGAATATAATTTTAAAGGTATGGAAGCCTAAGGTAGAGGGTATTGTTTAATCTAGTTGCTGGATCCAGATTTGGCTGCACATTGCGGTAAAAAACTTGTGTTACAGAACACAATACAGGGTTCTGCTTCAGGAGTCCTTAACAGTATTTACTAGCTACTGTGGGTAATGAGTACCATTGTACCATAGTGAGCACTTAGGTGTAGTTCTTGGCCTTCTGTAGATTTTTTTTTTCTTCTTAATGGACATTTCTGAGTGTAGGTGGCTTTGTGTTAATGACCAGTCTGTCACTCTTCCCATTGGATCCAGATCCGCTGAGGGATTTGCACAATGCTGTTCTCCCATATTATATATATATTTTTTGTTGGTTTTTTTTTTAATAAACTATTGTGTGTAGTGTCGACCACAGTAGTACACCAGTGACAAAACTATTCTTGTAAATTGTTATTCTCTGGAACACTTAATTTTGTTTTTTAATTAGATCTTTCCGTTTTGACTTGCCTTTGGCCGTTTTGGATAAAAGCACTTTGAATACAGTTGGATATCTGAATGTTGCTAACCCATGCAAGGTTTTGATATGCTTTAAACTTCTTGAGGAATGTAGAAAGTGGTCTTTAATTTTTTTTTCCACCGGCTTAATATTGAGGTGCACCTGCCTGATCAATCTGTCTTTTACGCAGTTCCTCTTTGCGGAGAATCGGCCAGGTTGCAATGAGAGTCTCTGCTTGCCTTAAACATGGTGTCCAAATGCCCTCTCTGGTGGGAGACACAGGTCTTTCTCATCACAATCATACCCCTCCTTTGATGTCGCTCGTCACCCAAATCTGTGGTTCCTGAGGCTTTTTGTTTCTGTGCACTACTGTTTGTAGTGCAGATCCACTCATTAGGTGACATAGGCAGATGGCTAGGGCGCCATCTTATGAGGAGGCGCCAACTTAGCATGCCAATTTTACTTTCATCTTGGTTGGGATGTGCTGGCAGTCTTGCCTTGGGTGCCACATGGGCCTCAACCTGCACTCATGAGATTTACTTACCCAAAAATGTTCTGAGGGCAGGATAAATGATTGGTTCAGAGTGAACCAATCAGATTGTAGAAGTGGGTCCAAGCAACTAGAGGAGGCAGGACCAACCAATCAAATGTCTTGTTCCTGCCTCCTCTAGTTGCTTGGACCCACTTCTTCTACAATCTGATTGTTTCTCTCTCTGAACCAATAATTTTTTTCTCTGCCCTCCTACCCCTTTTTGTGTAAGTGAAACTCCCATGAGCTCAGTGTGCACTGCTTTCTTGCTGCATGTGCTTGCTGCATTTCCAGTCAATAATCCTTTTTTTGCCCTTGAATCGATTTTTATAAAGTTGAGTGCATGTCCTAAATAATTTCGCTGTTGACAGGACTGATTTTGTCCCGATTGCTGATTAGCCCGTGGGATCTTGACGTGCAGTAAATGTGTATTTGCAGCTCAAAAAAGTATCAGACTCGTGATCAAACAAACCCCAGTGGGGTGTTTGAGGTGGGGAGATGAATAAAGCCCAAGATGTAATCTGAGTTTTAAACCTAATTGCCATTGAGTTCCAAACTGGTACTGGCAGGTAGATTTGGCAAGCTAGACACGTGCAATTACTTCAATATAAAAATACATACAACTTTTTTTGTCATGCCAGAATAAATGAATGTCCTGACTCGTATCCCAAAGGCGTTTACGCAAATGTTTACTTACAGAAATACTTTAACCTGCGTCACGAATCATCAGTGTCCTTGATTTTTAACACTATGCATATCCCATAAAGGCATTTGTGCTGAGTATTTTGTTTTTATTGCTCCGTGTTAGTGGTAATCTAGTAAAGCCACTCAGTTTGTTAGTAGCCTTATTGCTATTTGATTGAAAGGCAGGTTAAGTCCTGTTGAGTATTTACAGGACTGTCGGTCAAGAAAAGAAGTATTTTTTAGAAACCCAATGCTTTAAATACTGTACGTTAAGCTATTTTGTGATAAATCCAGTTGTAAAATGAATGCGAAACCAGTTTTCATCAGTGCCAAATGATTGTCTGATTTTTTTTCTTAGTGACTCCAGAGTACTTGGCAGTTGTTTACGTAAATCTGCTCCTAAAAGTATCTTCTTTCTTAATCTATATGATTTATGCCCCTAAAGAATGTTTCCCAAAGCTCAATGCACTTTTACAAACTATTTGGATGATGAATGCTGCAGAAAATAATGATATGGAAGCAGAGAGACCATGCGTGAGAAGTACCTTTAAATATTCTCAGCACTGTCCTTTCACCTGGACTTTTAATCCCTGGTGCGCCCTTCCACCTGTGAGTGAGACGGTCTGTCCTGGTCTGCTGGATGCTTTGTCCAACCAGGAAGTGCTGCTCCTGCCACTGTCAATCTGTGATTGGCTGCTTGCAGATCAGGTGGCAGCAGGCCTCTGCTTCATGTTAACCCTCTTGCTTCCTGTGGACTTTCCCAGGGTGCCCTGGTGCATAGTCATTTCAGGTGTCAGCAGCACCCTCCCCCGCCACCTGACATCAGAGGCCAGAAGAGCATCCTGCAGTTTGCCTGTGTGCATATGTGTGTGTGTAAGCTCCACACATACATGTACGCATGTCTCTCTACAAAGAACTGTTTTCTGTCACATCAGTGATGTTGGAAGGCTGCAAATGTTTTTATTTTTTTATTTTGACATTTCCCTCTCGTACTCTGTCCTAAACACTAAACGTGCAATACTGCTGATTTGGGTTTTGTGTGGCTGCTAGTGAGGTGTGGCGCCTTCAGTGAGGGATGAGTAAGCGAGAGAGAGCGATGGAGATACCTGAGGAGAAACCGTGACGAGAGTAGGCTGGAGGCTGGACCTTGACCCCTTTTCATTTGCCGTTTCTTCACTGTTGATAAGGTCCTGTTACAAAAATAATAATGAACCATTGTTTAAAGAATAAAAAAAAGATTATTTTGGAAATTTAAAGCATCCACATTTTATAAATTATCCTTTTTTGAGAGGGGTGATAAATATGAATATGTTACTTTGTATAAACATTTAATCATGTAAAAATGAATAAATAAAAAACACATTAGAAAATATGAGATGAAATGTGGCTTGTGGTGTTTGTGTACATAAAATTTACCTACTTTTTTTATTACAAATACTTCGAATGTGCGTTTCCATTTTAATTTGAAGCCTTTCTAGTAACGAGATTTTATAGTTTGTTCATCAATAAAGAAATGTAACTAAAAGTTTCGTGTAATATGTCTTTATTTTCCCCAAACTCAAAGATGAACCCCTGCGTAGTGCTTCAGCTGAAAGCAGGCTGCACTGTTGGTGGCCCTGTAGGGGGCAGTACTGAGTCCTATTTAGAAAGTGACACCATCCATCTCCTCGCTCGCTACATTTAGCAGACAAGACAGAATCCTTAGCTTTTGAGAATTTTTGGATCAGGTTTTGCTGCAGCTCTGGGATTTGTCCTGTGGCAACTGGAAGAACCTGAATTTATGTTTGGTGCATGTGGGATCTGACTCTAGCTGGTCATCTTGGGTAGTAAATTACCATCAGCAGTTGAACATTCCTTCTGAGTGGCCCATACCTCTGATAGGGACTGATTTCAAGAGAGGGGACTGCCATCAGACTGTCTTTGAGGGCACAGTGAGGAAGCATTGCATTCATCCATTCATCATCCATACCTATGTGTCCTATGTAGGGTTGCTGGGGTCCACAGTGTACTATTTCTAAAACCTCTTAAACCTTGTGTAAATTTATGTTAAGCCTGTTTTACTGGCCTGTGCTTTATGTGGTGCTTAGTACAAAAGTTGCCATAAGTAGGAGGATATTTTTTTTTAGCGTAAGTGGACATAAATGTCCAACGTGGGAAGTGCTGTGCCCTTGAAATCCCTCTGACCTTGTCCCGGTGGCTCTCGGCCGTCCCAAGCGGGCTGTGACCTGCTGAGCTGCAGCCGGACGCCCCTCGGCTGCCCCCCGCAGAGCCACTAGTCTGCAGTCCCTGGGACGGTGGACCCATCTGCCCTGCAGCGATGATCACAACCTCAAGTTAAGTCTTACACTCACAACATCCATAAAATGGCCTGATTTGGAAGTGTTCTGGGAGGGGGGGGGGAAGTGGCAAGGACATTTTTATATAATAATTGGAGTGCAACCTCCATCCAACTTGTTTTACCTATGGACTCTAAACTCCATTTCCCTGTTAATATGCTGCTTTTTATATTAAATGCTTTTATTTGATATTCAGTGTAGTACAGGACAGTGTTTTCTATGGTGCTGTATATTCTCAGCAGTCAGTCTGTGTAGGTGTTGCTATCCATCCATCCATATGGATTGTAGTTAGGGCTGAGGACTAAGAACTTTAAAATGGCTTTAGTCAGTCTCGCATTAACTAACGTTAAATGTCACTGTTGAAATAATGTCTGCAGTCGAGTGTTTGTCTGGGTTAAGAAAAACAGGGTTTTGTTATCCCAGGTATACTGATTCATTGTTGTCTTTTAAAATTACCACTATGTTGTTAGTACTTCACGGTGAGCATCTCTAAATGAATACCTCTTGGAATGCTTGTAATAATGCCAGTTTCACATAAAATAAATATTTTATTAACAAAGTCATTATGAATTATGTTGGGGATCGTGAATTTCCCCCTAAAATGAAGTTAACTGCGCGGATCGTGGACTAAGCATAAATTATATTTGAAGGAATAATCTATAGCGGTTTTGGCAAAACAGACCTACTGGTTCATGTTTTCTTGGCCTCGCGGGTATGTACATAATATTACCGTGACCAGAACTGCTTTGCTGAGCAAGAAGACTGAAGTTCTTTTCAAGGAGACTTAATCCCTTATTTGCCCTCCAACACTGACCATGTTCCACATAGCATAGCAGACTGTGGATATGCCAGAAATGTATATCCGTGTATACATGCAAGAAAGTAGCCACTTGGAAAACACGCTAGCATTGATTTTAATCTGACAAGGTCAATTTATTTCAGGACAAACAAAATGGTTTTCCAGGGCAGGTATCTTTTGATTTTGTAAATAATTTTTTGGCTGTATTTTAAGCAAGCCTCACCTATTAGTCAAGTATCAGTTATGTACTGTCCCGATTCACGACTGCAAACTGCCGTCATGAATTTTATCAATATACATTTCATAGTGGAATGTTGGGCAGGAGAGTGACATAAAGCGACAGATTGGTGGATAATTGTAGCAGATTCTGGAATGATGTAACTGCTGATTGGAAAATATGAGTACATGAAAGGGAGAAGATTAAACACCTTGTACATGTACATGCTTGGTATCAACTGTGAAGTCTTTTAGTTTTTAGAACCTTTTAAGAAATGTACTCCATAACAAGCATTTAATGAAACTGTCATTTCAAAGTAG